ATACCCAAAAGAACGATGATGCGCAAAAAATTTAGATTTTTCGATCTGAGTTTTAGACCGGAACGCTCAAATTATTTCTTTCTCATCCACGGTTGAAAACTGAATCAAAAAATACTATTATATTCATTTCCGACGTCCACCATGGACGTCCAGATGGAGGAATTGAGAAATAAGGGTAAGTCATTTTGTAAATCCATCTAGTATTTTGGGTGATGAACTGTAACCTCCGTTTCAGCGGCATTATATGCGTCTTGAATCGAGCTTTAAAAGTACGTCATACTTTTTTAAAAATTTGTTTCGTTCTTGAGAAAACTGACCTTTTCTAAATCAAGGGCGAAAAGGTCAGAATTCTGCTCGTAATTCTCAATTTTCTCCATCAGAACTGAACTATTATGCAATAAAAATATTATATTTGGAATCAAGATCAAAAAAGGAATCGACTGATGTGTATATCTATCGTATCCGAATACATTAGCGTTTTCCGAATTTTCATTTTGAAAAATCATAGAGTTCCGAAGTACACATCATTCGACTCATTTTTTGATCTGGATTCCGAATATGATATTTATATTATGTAGAAGTTGAGTTCTGATGGAGAAAATTGAGAATTACGGATAGAATTCTGACTTTTTCGCTTCTGAGGAACGAAACGAAATTTTAGAAAAAGCGTGACGTACTTTTAAAGTTGGATTCAAGACGCACGCAATGCCGGTGTAAGCCCATCACCCAAACGACTAGATGGGTTTACAAAATGACGTGCTCTTACTTCCCAATTCCTCCATGTGGACGTCCATGGTGGACGTCGGAAATGAATATAATATCAAAGCTGAATGAGAAAGAAATAATTTGATTGTTCTAGTCAAAAACCCAAATCGAAAAATCTAACTTTGGTGCGCATCATCGTTCTGTCGAGTTTTGTTGATTTTTCGACATAAAAGGACGTTTGGAAAAAATAAAAACTACATAATCATAATAACATCACACTGAAAAAAACGACCAGTGTCGCGCTTCTGAAAGAAAGAAAAAGAAATTGTTTTAAATTAAGTTCAAGCCCCAGGCGAAAAAAGATCCTTGGATTCTGCACGAAAAACGCGCGTTTTTTGAACGCGTTGGCGACCGGTCGTTAAAAGAGCTGTTTAAACCCCTTTTTTGTCGCTCAAAAGTTTAGAATAACACGTTCTTTGACAAGCGTTTGTTAACGAGCGTTAAATCAACCGCTTTCTGGCGTTTTTGTTGAACGCGTTTTATAATGGCGTTAAAATGATCATTGAAACGCGTTTATTTTATATAAAAACATGTTGAAACATGTCGTTTCTAAACGCGTTTACAAAAAGAAAAGAGTTTGGCATTTTAACTCCGTTAGAAAAACGCGTTCAACAAAAACGGTTAATTCAACGAACGTTAGCAAACGGGTTGTGGAAGAACGCGTTATTCTGAAGTCTTGAACGACAAAAGACGCGTTTAAACGGCTCTTTTAACGGTCGTTTGCTAACGCGTTCTGGAAAAACGCGTTTGCGTTTTTCTAACGATTTTTCTTGAAATTGAAATTTTTCGTTAAGTACTCATTTTACTGCTCTCCACTAGTCTGTTGTCAGCTAACGTAATGTCAAGAGGATACGGCGAAATGAGAAAAGTGGAAGAATGGTGGGACACAAGTTGATGGTTCAAACCTCTGTATCTTCTCTCTGTTTTTATTTTTGAATCATTTCAAAACGCGTTGAGTAACGTTATCATTGTCGTTGCACATTCATCGAAAAACGCGTTGTGAAATTTCGAAAAACGCGTCTTCTAATGAATAGATGGAAAAAACGCGTTTAGACGACAAAAGAAAAGCGTTGATTTTGAAACCTTTAACGCGTTTTTTGTGATTTTTTTTTACCCCTGGGACCATAGACGCCAGAGTGTGTGAAACTTTTATTCGAAAATAGCTGAGCACATGGGGCAGCAGACATTAGAGCTTTTAAAAGCAGTCTTCAATAGATGAGAGAGAAATTAGTGTACGTCATCGACGAGAAGACGCAAAAATTAGCAGATCAACACGACCGGCTGATAATTTACACTATCAAATACACTGTGTAGATTACATTCGATTACATCTCTATATCTGATCAACGTCTTTAGAAGAGAAATGACGACGCTAGAACCCTTCACCGTTTTTGAATTCAGCGACTTATGATACATAGATTGTTGTGAGAGATAAGTCTGTTTCACGTAGAGTTTTGAAGGTATTAGGCGAATTAAGAGTCTTGATTAGAAACATCCTCGAAACACTTTGTCATCGAACTGCTCTAGCTGTTGTTCTCGAGCAGTGTCGACACCTGCACTCGGTGGTCTCACTGTAATTATCCATTTTTCAATTTGTTTTGGATATCTCAAATACAAACGCTTTGTCGGTCGGTGATAGACTGCTGTTGCAATACGTACTGGATACGCATCAATATTTGTCGGTCCATCAGCGTTTGCTATAACTGTCCTTCCTAGATTCAAACGTGCACATACAATAGCACCGTCGACATATAATGTTCGTTCGACTTTTGGAGTGAAATAGATCTCTCGTTGCATAGTAAGATCTGGATCTGCTGGAAAGCCAGTCTTTGAAATTTCATAAGCACGTTCTTTAGTTGTTTGATAGAAGCCGATAATGATTGGATTTTGATCCGTTGCACCAACAATTTGTGGAAAGTCAGTTGCAGCATAGAAACTATGATACATGAGAACATGATGAAGACTTTGTGACGGACATTGACTTTGTACGAGATATCTTCCTATAGGTAAGGGAGCTGGATTTCTCGTAGTAATAAATTGTTCAACATTCTGTCTCTCGCAAAGTGAGCGATTGTATTCGGTGACTACAGATTCATTGACAAGTGAAAATGGGATAAAACGAATATGTGACTTATGTAAACGTTCGGTGTAGTTTCCGTTCGGACGATAAGTCCAGAGGCGAAAAAAGTTAGCTATTTCAAAATAAATTGTAAACGATGATGGGATAAGTGAGAGACTACTAAAGACTGTATAGGCAACAGCACGTGGATAATAACGATTAGCACAGGATGCACCGATGATAAATGATAGAAATCGCAATAGAAAACAGAAGAGTAAAAAAATTACACGTATCAGTAATATTCCTTGTGGATGTTCAGAGTAACATTTACAGTTGAAACATGTTAAAGTTCCGAGACGCCATGCTGTCTTTCGTTTACAGCAGAGATATTCACCAGTATTTTCATTGAATAGTGGTTCTAAATGATACTTAGTAATGAGATAAACGAGATTGCACACGATAATAAATATCGAGCAGAAGAATTCAAGTAGAAATATTGGAATAAGATAGGCTAAACTGCTTTTTTCATTTGAATTCTTCGATGCTGCAGCTAAATCAGTACAGAGTATAATAAATCGAATAAAGAAGTAGGTACTGGCATCGATTGTATGACATATAATTAGCGCTTTATACCGTTTTGCATCCTCACGCAAGTATAAGAACTTCATCTTATTAAAAGAATTCTTGTACTTTCTAATAAAAAGTGATTTACTGTCGACAGAAAGCTATTCTGCGAAGAATATTTCTCTAATTCCATGTGAAACATGACATGTAATGAGTACTGTCTGCACTGTGTTGATCTTTTCTTTTCAGCATTGTTTACTACTAATGTTAAGAGATGAGAAAGAACAATTGCGACGACATAATTACATATAAACTCTTTCTTTTATAGTTACCATTTGTTCTTTTTCCAGTTCTGACTCAATATTTCATGTTGGTTTTTCCCTACTTACACATGCTGTACGTGCACATATAGTGTTCTGAATTTTTTTAAAAAAGAAGAAAATGCAGCGTCTTAAAGATGACCACACTCGTTACAACTATTTAATATTATTCCATGCAATAGATGCATTAACATTTCTCATCCGTTTTATTATTCTGTGTACCGATCTTTCAGCTGCCAATTCAGACAGTTTACAGTATCTCATTCCTATACTGCTCTTAGAGTTTGCTACGTCATTGGTTATCTTCATTGCAGACCTAATCTATGTCTATTTAAAATATGTCGGCCCAATATTATACGAAACAGAGCAAGACGATATCTGTGTACCACGTAAATATGTCTGGCGTTTTTCTACATTAACATGTTTTAAGTGTGATTGCTATCAAGATTTGCCACAAACCGTTACACTCACTCGTGTTATTATACTCGGCAGCTGCGTAGTTGTACGCTTCGTACTCTTCATCTTAGGAGCAGTTTGCGCTAACAAATATTCACCGAGAGGTATTGCCTATACAGTGATTGCTAGCTTTTCTCTCGTTATCTCCTCTATAACTGTGATCATCGAATATCTACATCATAGACGACCTTGGTATTATCGTCCTAGCAATGATTATACTGTAGTTACACGAAAAGAACATCTTCGTTACATACCGTACGATCTTGTAAATGATCAGCGAACTATACACTGGCGTTCATCTCTCTGTGAACGCGGCACACCTTGTAATTCCCGTAACTTACATCACGTTCTCTTCTATCATTCATCTAATGTACAATATCGACCAGAGGAAACACGTAATAATCAGACTGTCGTTGGATTTCATCAGACAAGTCGACATGCTGCCTATGCTATCGCCAGAGAAGGATTTCTTCACAGTAGGCGTGGTATGTTAGGCGAGGGTGTTTACTTCGCAACTTCAATTGATCACACACAATTTAAAGCAAATCATTTTGGTGCATTTATCTGTGCTAAAGTTGATCTTGGAAATACACGTCGTATTACATCGGCACAACTGAAAGCCAGAATTGCTGTTGGACCAGAGTTTGATACAGTCTATTTAGATCATGAATTAGGTAACGATGAATTTTGTGTACGAAATACAGCTCAAATTCGCTCATGGATTATAAGTGCAAGTAATGAACGAAGGATAGTATCGAGAGATGGCACGGTAGACGCTCCAATAACAGATGAGTTTGATGCTAGAGTGTATGAAGGATGTTTTTAAAAAGGGAGTGCTGCCTTTGAACTTTTCTTTTTCAGAGAAACATGTTGCGATATTTACAAAAAATAGAGGGAACAAGCAAAAGTTTGTGCTTTTTTGTGAAAGTACGACCGAAAAGCGACCGTACAGAAACAAATCTTCTGTTGTAGGGCGCCTCGAGAAAGCTGTATGGTTATAGTTAGTATATAGCGTAATGCTAATGTGCCTGTCTGCCATGCTTCAGAAGTCAATAAAACAGTTAACTCTCAATCAAAGTTTAAATATTTCCTCATCCACATCTCTTTACCCGCTTACGCTTAGTGACTGATGACCGAAAAGAAAAGGCTGGTAGGAGGAGATAGAGGGAGAGAAAGCAAACGAACCAAAATGAGAAGCAAAATCTCTCTCTGTGTTATTGAAATCAAAATTCAAAAAAACTAACAAGTTAACTATATATTTCTTTCTCAAAACAAAACTACGCACTAAAAATAAAGCGTATTATATAAAACCCTAAAAAAATGGTTTAGTAGGCAAAAAGGGTTTTTCATTCATCGTAGAGAGTAAGAAAGATCAGAATTGTCAATAGCCTCGTACACGATGTTAAGAACATATTTATTTTTATCAATACTCGCCCGTTACTGTAACCAATATTCAAAGGGCAGAGTACATTTCTGTCGTCGTTAATGATATATAAGATTTTCGAGTTCAAATCTAGCAGTTACATAGTGAAAACCAATTTTATTAAGACGCCGCTAATTCAAAGTTTGAGCACTTTCGTTTTATAGTTGAAAGACACCTATTCTGATGCGCGGGAGCTGCTGATCAAGAGAAATGTCGAAAAAACTAAAAAACGAAATTCGAGATTTTTTATTAACCATCTTTTTTAGTTTTTTCGACATTTCGCTTGACCGAGAAGTCGCAGAAGGCTCGAAAGCGTCTCACTTTGTTCAGGATTTAATTCTCTATCGTTCTAGGCCATTTTCAAAAAGTCTGGTCGTTGAGAAGGTTTTCTGGAGATCCGGTCTCTGGAAAACCCTCTGGATGGTTTTTGAAAACTTTAAAAATGTTTACCTTAAATTCGCCATCGCTTTTAACCTATTCTAGGGTATTTCTGTAAATTTTTGACGTAAAATGAATTTTTATTCGAACATCACTTGGCCGATGGGTGTCTCTATTACAGGGGTTTGTGGATCGGACACGTAGTATACGATCTGGCTCTAGACTACATGCCTAGACTCAGTTTCACTCAAGCAATCCGAATATGACCATGGCGAGATCGGAAAGTGGAATGGAACGGGGTTAGTTCTTGTTTTTCATAGAGGCAGCTTTTTTCGAATTTTGACATATCAACAGTATTTTGCATTTTTCTCCGTGAAGACTTAATCAAATCGGAAAAATAAAGTGATATTCGTGATCAGCAGCTCCCAGTACATCAGAATATGTGTCTTTCACACAAAACGAAAGTGCTCAAACTTTGAATTAGCGGCGCCTTACAACCGAGCTGATTACTCTCATTTTTGATCTAATTAAGAGCACCGAATTCGTTTCTTATTTTGTCCATTAACCACTTTTTCTAGAAGAACTAACTACTTTTAGGAGATCGTGGCATATTTCTCACCGCGACCGGCTCATTTTGGGACTTTATTCTATCATGGTGCAAGCGGAAATATATTCCGCTATAGTATCTTAAACTAAAACTATCGAAAAACATAAAATCAGTTTTGTACAAATAGAGATTAGTTAATTTTTTAAGTTAGTTAAAAATTATTTAAAAGTTCCATTCGGTAGTTATTCAAGTGACACCGAGAAAACTGATTAATCATTCATTACACTGTTCATGCCGCGTCTTCTGTTATATTTGTACATCTTGAACCGTTATCAAAGGTTTTATTAATAGAGATCTGTGGGATGGTTCCAATCCTGGTCTCACGAGAATTTTTACGAGATCGGAACCAATAAATTTTAGTCGCGCAGACCTCTATTCGTTAAATATGTAACTTCTTCGCAAAGCTAGACAATCATGAAATCAGGAAAAACCAAATTCTTTAATTTGTGGTGTTGTACCCAGGTTCTCTTACACAAAAAGAAAAAGAAGAAAAACGACTTTTTTAACACGTGAATAAGTCATCTCTTTAAAAGAATCGCTTAAACGAGTCCCAAGTCAACTTTCGCGCCTCGGGCAGGGCGTGATCGCTAAAAAATCTTGTATTCCCATCGCGATCGCGCTGGACTCTTAAACTCGCGCCGTGATCTTACCCAGTCTTATTTTAAAAAAAGTCTGTTTCTAAGATTCGCTATACTGTCGCTATGTCGCGGCGCGATCGCTATAGATTCGCGATTTCGCGACAGAACTTGAAAAGTTATGAATTTTCAAAAAACCAAGTCAATATTTCTTAGCGCGATCACTATCTTATCGCTATATCGCGGTATGATTCGCGATATGGTGAGTCGTGCCGAGACAATCGCAGATATATAAACAGTAGTATTTGCGTAGTCGCGTCGTGAGTCACGTTTTTTATCGCTGAGTTGCGGTCTAAGTAGAAGAGTTTTAAAATGTCGCGGCGCGAGTCTTGGTTGTTCTGTATTATACCTTATGTTATGTTTCTAAACTTATATATAACACACATACTAAGAAAAAGAAAAGAACAGACCGCCTTTCTGCATCGAAGAAATACGGGGTCATGAAAAATGATGTCTTATACCTTCGAATCGTCGTGTGGTTACCAGTTCTACTCTTAGACGGCTTGACATGTAAAATTAACTTTTGTGTATGTTCTATCCTAGGCAGTCATTTTCTGCTCGAAAAACACGTACAACATATTTGTGGTAGAAACGAGTTAAATTTTTAAATTTGAAAAATTTAAAAATTAAATTCAAAATCGAGCTGACGTATAAAGAGAGTCTCCATGCTCTCACACGACCGTCCACGAGTGTCCTAAAGTCAAGGTTCACACGTTAAGGAAGAAAGAAACTAAAACAACTTACTCAGCTGTGGCGATGATTCGAACGTGAGTATCTAGAATTAAGAAGCAAGCATAGAACAGGTTGAGCTAAAGATGCTCGAAAGATGATCTGTATCATCTGTAATTGTTTCGAGCATCGATAGCTTATTGAAGACTTATTCTTTTCTGTTTGCTTGCTTTTTAATTCTAGGACCCGAGCAACTACTTATTACTCTTGTCTGCAGAGATCTTTCATTTTGCTCGGAGTAAAATAGCTTTTTATTTCCAGTGACTGGAAGGCTCGAATGAAAGTAATTTCTGAGTTTCGTTGTTCTATCACCTGTAGGTTCAGTTCCACTATCATCTGTAGGTTCAGTTCCAAAATTGAAGAACTTCTACGAAACTTCGAACCCAGTTGAGTTTCTATTATTCGACGTTGTTCGAGTACATACAGATTCATTCTTTCAAACTTTTCATCCAAGATCTATTTACTATCCATATTTTGTATTTGAATGTTATTGTTAAGAGCAACATCTGAGTCTGAGTAAGTTTTTCGTGTGAATCACTGTGTCTTTGGTAAAAAGGCTTTGCATATAATCCAGATCGAAAATGCATAGAAATTGAAACGTTTCATCTTACGACATCCCCGACTGTAGAATATACACAAAACTTAATTTTGCATCCCAGGGCATCTAAGAATAGAGCAGGTAACGACGCGGCGCTTCGAAGGCATAAGAAATCATTTTTCGTGATCCCGTATTTCTTCGATACAGAACGTATAGTGATACGGGGTGTGAGTGAACGGCTAAAAGTACGCCCCGTATTCTTCCACGGGAGAACGCCTAGTTATACGGGGTCTGAGTGAACGGCTAAAAGTACGCCCCGTACTCTTTCACAAGGGAACGGGTAGAATGTAAATAAATCAGCCTCAGTACGGGTCTGGATCCCGTATAAAATTTTGATACGGGGTCAGAACGCCCGTTCTAAAACTTTTTTAAGCTCTTGGGTACGTTGTTCTCTTCTTTTGTTGTTAATCTGTCGTATACACGTGTGTATGTTTCCTTTTAATTTTAATAGTCATTTCTTTTTTGTTATCGCAGTGTTAAGATCACTTTATCGTGTAGTCTATTGCAGCCATACACTGTTTTCAATTTTTTGTTTTGACATATAAATTTTAAATACTGAATAATATTAATCTCAAATAATATATAACTAAAATTGTGGTAAGTACACAGCAATTTCAGTGTGTGGAAGCAGAAAAAAATAAGCTCTTTCGGTTTTACTACATTTGTTACAGAGTTCAGCCGTTTTTCTCCTATTTTTTGAAAGTCAAAACCTGGGTTACCTTTGTCAGAAAATGCACAAAATCTAAGAGATTCACCTATATAGGTTCAATTAGCATGTGGACCGTGTTAAAAGATCTCATAAATGCATTAACGTGAGAAATGCACCAAATGGTTGATTATCGTCTCTATATGAGTTTTCTCGGTGTAATATCGCTTTATTCTTGGTGACTTACAGGATGTAGCGAAGATCAGTTCGGTCCTGTTTGACGCACAGAGGATAGCGGCATAGTTCCAGAGCACCTCATTCACAGGATGCTAGATTAGCTCTCGGCTCTACCAACGAACTGTTCATAGCGTTAGTATTTCTCGAATACACATACTCTGTAAGTGCAAGTGTGATGTTTCATCACATACAGCAAACGTTTCCTTGCGGTAAAAACCCATAGACGAACAATACGATATCAATCTATTTCACGTATATTTTGAGATCTAATTCCAGTCGCATGGCGAACCAGAATTGAAAAATATAGATGAATACCGTTAGATCAACGGTTGATGAAGCATTCACTTGCGAATTTGATTTTTCAAAATACCTTCTGACTTAGCCACACTTCAAAAAAACATTTAGTTCAACTTTGTAACAATAGAAAAGGCGAAAGGACTTCTTCACTTTCTGCCAGATACGGGGTCATCCACATAATGGATGACGCTTATACTGTTCTGAAATAACTGTGTACTTGTTGCGTGCATCATGTTCCGAAGAGTAAGCCGGTAAAACATGGTGCACTTAAGTGCC